TTAAAAAAAAAAAAACTCAACCGAGGAAATCTGGGCATGTAATTGGCTCTATTCAAAGGCTCATGAGTTTGGCAGTGTCCCTTCCGGTAAGGAGATGGGTGCCCTGAGGAGTTGTAAGTAGCAGAAGGTGTTTAAAGGCAGGAGGGTGGCATGAGGAAGTATTCTCAAAACAAAGGAAGGATTTTTTCCCCCCCAGATTGGGCCATCTTTTTGGGGGAAGATCTTACCCTGCAGGTGACCTCACCAGTGCTGATCAGGAAATTTCAGACCGACTGTTTAAAGGTCACATTTCTGGGAGAGGTTGAAACCACAGTGAGTCTTGGGTTTGCTGTTGTGGGGGCAAGTGCCTCCACTCGGGGCCCATTGTTTCTTTTCCAACAGTAGATAGCAGGGGTTGGGGGGGGTTGGTGGACTTCAAATGCCAGGGGTGGGGGCAGATGTTTGTGATGTATTGTCTAAGCCTAGGGAGCCTTGAATGGGTTTGTGGAGGAGACTCAGGGTCAGCTCTCTGGCTGTTGGACGGATCCCTGTGGGGGCCCATAAATGAGACAGGGAAGGGACTGGAGGTCAGGAGGTGATGGAATGTGCTGGAAGAATGGACAGATACAAGTGGGACGCAGAGAAGACCCCACAGAGATGATAAGATGCTGTATCGTGAAACCAAAATCCAGGCTGAGGGGCTGGTCTTTCCCTGGGGAGGCTTTGAAGGAGAATGACACCAGCCGGTTGCTACTGTGTGCCGGGGCGGTCACCCTCAGCCCCAGGGTCACTTTCCAGCAGGACCTTTCTGTCCAAAGAAGACAGATCAGTAGGCACTGAGCCCCATGGTGCGATAGGACCTCTGTTGGCTGATTTCTCTGTGTTAATTTCTTTACTGTTCACAACCACCTTTGAGGCAGAAGGCATGATCTCTGATTTACGGAACGGGAAACTGAAGCACGCAGAGATGAAGCAACTTGCTTGACAGGCTACGTTTGAGCCCAAATCTGCTCTACCCGGGGACACCCGGACAGTCCTGCTCCTTTATATCGCCACAGGGCTCCACGCACTTCATCAGTTGGCGCCTGACTTCTCCTCTCCCCGCAGGGGCTGGGATTCCTGGCTCCAGGCGGCCCTCACTTGCTCGTCCTGATCTCCGAGTACTCACTGGTGCTGGTGGCCTCCTGGTCCTGAGGTTCCCTCATCTTTATCCCGTGAAAGCTGAAGGAGGCGTAATGGAGCTCCTGCTGCTCCCCCGAGGGAGGGGCATCCCCGGCAGGGGTCGTTTGATCTGGAGGGCTGTCTGGCCAGGGCTTCTTCCTGGAACCCTGAGTGAAAGAGAAACGAGAGAGTCGGAGAAGGAATGAGGCAGACGTGGTCCCCCTCAAGGGAGGTTGGGCTAATGGGACATTTGGTCATTCTTCCTCCTAGTCACACACATTTCCTACGAACCCAATGATTCACTCATCCATTTATTTTTTTAAGTTTACTTATTTATTTTGAGAGAGAGAGAG